AGAGAGAGAGAGAGAGAGAGAGAGAGAGAGCGCATTCGTCGGCAAAAACAGTCTAAATGATTTAATTAAATTTTTCAAATTCTGTCGTACAGAGTTAAACTTTTTCCATTAGTATTAAGTTTTACATAATTAATACAAGTGAGATGTGTCTCTCGCAGCTCCTCACGTAAAGCATTTTTGAAATATTTAACCTGAAATATAATTTTTTAAATTACATTTCTATTACAAATCCACCTCGTTGGCATATCAAAATTAATGACAAGACTAACGAAACGTATTTGTCGGGAAATAACGAGGCTTGCACGTCATCTAGTTTATAATTAACATAATTCCATTGAATTACTCAGCATCTCTATCAAAACTGATGTTTTCAACGCCTTCATATATACATATACGATACATATATATATATGTACGCGCGCGCGCGCGCGCGCGCGTGTGTGTGTGTGTGTGTGTGTGTGTGTGTGTGGTCCAAAACGTTACTACGCTTTCCGCACGGGTCCTGTTCTCTCCCCCAAATGCATTTATCACGCGTTTGTTTCTGCTAGTTCGCAGCTAGACGGACGTGGATTTATTCCTGCAAGGGGTAGAAATAGGGATGGGCGGACGAAGATAGATACACGTTTACGACCGTCGCTTAAGCGTCGTCCCTACCTCTAATATCACTTGCGCGGTTATTCAAGGATTCCGTTTCACGCGGACATACATTCGAACGTTTGATATACTGAAGCGCGCCTGGAGGCAGCAATTGAAGGGCTGGAATTATTTGTCACTGCGCTAAGACATGACTAACCGTAACACGATCGAGCGTTACGGAATTCAAGACGGCGATAATGCACATTCCGTGTTTGCCTATTTGTCGAAGGAGATTCAGTAGAATGACGTTATAAAAAGTTATTATTATTAGAAGTACATCGAACGTTAAACATTTTTAAGCTTTAATCCTAAGAGCTTTTTAAGATTTTTATAATGCAAATAATTTTTAATCTAAACACAAGAACTGAGATCTTATTATTTTTTTCTGGTACGTATAATGTATAATTTAACAAGCAAATCACATTAGGGCGGATAATGTTTAAGCTTCTCTTTATACTTAGGGTAATTCCGGTAAATACGCCGCGAAAAAATAAAAGGAGTGTGAGGGTAATTTTCCCGCAACTACTCTGTTACATGCCTTTTTATTATATTAGTATTGTGTTATGATTTCATACTATTCTTCTTACTATTAATATTAAAGAAATTATTGTGAATTGAATTGATTTGTCACTGTAATATGTAGCGCCATCATAAATTATAATCTACATAAAATGATTACTGTAGGGCGTGTAAAAGACTTAATGGTTATTTCGTGATACGTACTTGTAGAGCAATAAAATAAATTATTTGTCATTGCGCTAATATGTTGTATAGCAAAATGCAAGTACTTTACTTTCATATTCTTTATTCAGTTTGTTGTCTTGTATAAATGTATATTCCACCTGTTTGGGATACACGGCATTTTAAGCGGACGGGATTTATATCCAAAGCATACAAAGTGCGCAGATTGAATTCAGTACACTAAATGCAATAAACGCATTACGTAAAATATGTACCTTATATCATAACACTTGTAATATATGTAGGAAGATTGTAATTATTATATATTTATTATTTCATATACATATTTATCATTTTTATTCCTTAAAAAAACTTTATAAACGCATTTTATAAGTTATTGTGTCATTTTACGTCTTATTTATAGGCATTATATTTGTAAATTTTTCATGAACCATATATATCTCCTCCTCCCTCTATGAATAGTCATATATCCCACCTCTATAGGATATACGACAAAAATGCAAGGGTTTCAAAAAGTTCATTTTTTAATACGAAAAATAAATATTTCGGATTTCTAATATTTTGTTAATAGTAGTAGACAGTACAAAGTTTTTACTGATATAGTTCGTTTATTTTAAACATAGTAAATGATACTTAATAAATTAAGTTTTTGACAGGTGCGGCGTATATACTGGAGTTACCCTACGCCTTTCGACGAGCAAGAGAGTAGAGTTTATTTTCTGTTATTTTGTTACATATTGAATGTATTTTAAAGGACTGTATAAAGGAATGTATTATCGTTTTGTCCAACTGTTTTGAATTTTCCAGTGTAATATATACATACATACTCAAAGGTGAAAAAAGAAGTTAGAGGAAATGGGTAACAGCAAAACGGTTGCGGTAATGAAGTCGCGTTGTAGACCGAAAGGATGGAGCAATGAAAGAGAACATTGTAGACAGTTTAGTTTAAAAAATAAATCAAGTTAGGACACATTTTATAAATATTAAACGTAACGTTCTTTTTTTTATATATGTATGAACATGCGAGTTATTACAGAACTAAACTAACAGTACTTAATTTCTCGGGATTTTTGCTTTTTCTTTTGTTTAACTAACGCAAGTATAATAATATTACATATAACCTATAAATATACAAGTAAGTGTTTAAAGTGCCAAATAAATAATTATGGCGCAAAAATTTATTTTGTATAAATATATTCGAAGCGAAAAATTTTTAATTATCTTATACACATATATGTATATACATACAGAATTTTGAAATAAGATATTCTGGATAGAAACTGTCAAAATAGATTTCATGAGAAAAGTCGTACAAGTGAACAGATGTTCACTTGAATGTGCATTTGCATTTCCTAGCAAATTTCTCTTCAACTATGTAAATTGCTACGGAATTTATTTGCGTTTGCTAAAGTAAATTTAAATAAGAAACATACAATTTAGTGTACGATTGATTACACAGTTGACAATGAATTCTAGATGTCATTCTAGATGTGTATGTATGTGCGTGCGCGCGCGCGCGCGCGTGTGTGTATGTGTACATGCAATCATTAGGATAAATTATCTTCTTGGTTAAAAGCACACTCCTTACCCTGAATATTCATTTCCTTTATTCAAGATTTCACTAGATGAGACGTTTCGTTTATGACGTATATAAAGCTAGAGTGCGAGAGTCTATGAAATGGACGTAGCCTTGCTAAGTAAGACGTATATACGTCTCATTTTGCAAAGGAGAAGAGCACGTCTCGTCATTTGACTTAAAACATAAAGCCAGTTAATTCACGCCAATTATACAGCAACTAAGTTTTGTATAGAAAAAAATCAATGTTGTGTTATGAAATTGTCGAAAATAGCAATTTCTATCTGTAATAACTTAGTAAAATTATTATTATTATAAAAAATAATTTCATAGGGTTGTCACATTTAAGAAAGATATGTAGTTATTTAACAAGAGTCTTGCTGTATGATAGACCTTTTTAATATCTAAAAATAATTACTCGGTTCATTTAGATTTGTACTTTAGGAAGGTTTGAACTTAATTTCCGACGTTGTATTCTGGCCACCTAATTTCCTGATATCGATCGCTATGCGCCATGGCTCTAAAGAGAGACAGGAAGGACAGCCAAAAGTGATCACGTTATACGTTTCGCTATTCCGGCGAGCATGAAGCTGCTTTCTACCCTGTCACGAATGCATCTTAATTTGGAGTAATTAGCAAGGCATGTTGTGTGCGCGCGTACAATTTGTAGCCGCGTGTTTGTTAATGGTGAGTTAATCGGCCATTAAGCCTTATCATATTTGAAGGATTACTCCGGCAAATAACAGTATTTTAATGCCAATTGCTTGTTTATTGAAATAATATTAGAGACTATTTAGCTTATTGCGCAATTAATAATAATTATTGATGCAATACATTACTGATTTTCGTATATATTATATATTACGTGCCACTGACATATTTGCAGATAATTTTCGTTTTCATACTTAAAATAATTCACATTCGCATACACTAGACTGTATTTATAACTTTATTTACTTTTAAACGTATCTACTTTATTTTTATTAAACTCGGTTATTTTTCAATTGCGAAACGAAATTAAAAAAATAGGATCTCCCGTTATGCAATTAAAAATATTAAGGGAAATTGAATATTTTTGATCGTTGCGCTATGGCAAGAAACAATCTGATATGACTGAATTATTTATTTATTTCTATTTGTTAATTTTTACTGTATCATTTAAGGGTTTGTTTGAAGTTTGCTTATTTTCCGTGTAAATATTAAAACCAGCCGTTTTTCTCATATTCCACTTACTTAATTAATAACGTTGCTGCCGTTGTTTGCTTGCACAGGCACTCAATTTACAAGTATATGTATAGCATGTCGAGCT